GTTGTAGATGCTGTCCCCCTCTTTGCTTCTTATGTGTGTTGTCTGAGGAAGACACAAACAGAAAACTGCGTAGAATAATAACTCCTCGTGCTAATCGTAATTAAAAAGCCACATGTTTAGCCAAATGGCATATGAGCCAAGTTGTGAACCATTTCAAAAGCCTCAGTCCCTATGACTTTACAGTTCAAGGCTATCTGTGACCTTTTCTCTGATGTCATCATCTGATGGTGATGGTCTTGTTGAATTTTTGGTAGTCTGAACCCACATGAATACCCACATTAAAATAAAATTTCAAGAATATTTGAAGACCTGCAAATAAAGTTAGCCAGAAAAGACTAGAAATCGATAATCAGTGTAGCGTGACTCCAGCCCGGTAGGTGGCGGTGGCGTGAGGAGGCAGCCGACGCTTGAAAAAAACAAACGAAGGACACCGGAACTTCATTAGGAAACCCTCTTGAACAGCAGCACGGTAAACCTCAATGTCATATTTTAACTGTCTAGTTTTGCATCTATTGGCTTTTATCGCCGAATTGTCGGAGACGTATCTGCCTTATTGTAACAGAAGCTGCCCTTTTCGATTTAACGATGACGTTAACGCGCCAGTCAGGGAAACGTTTGAAGGACTGTTTGTACCTTTTGCAGCTAGCTGACAATGCTAACATTTAGCTACCGCGGCTAACCAGCCTAGCTCGTCCTTTTATCTTGCTTAAGATTGTTTTGTGGTTTCGCAATCAAGTATCATTATACTCTGTAATTGCCTTACAATGCATCGAAGCGTTTGTGAGCATGGTCATCTTTGATCGCTTTTAGTAACGTTACAAGGGAAACATCTGTAAAAAGGAGACATGTTGATTTCAACATGACGTACTGTCTCTAACAAACTACATCGTCTTTAAGTAGCGCTCAATACAACACATACAAATCACAAAGATTGATAATTGAAAATATCAAAGTAAATCAAACTCGGAGCTATTTTTAAATAAGTTTAGGGTTTTTTTGCTTGAATTATTACAGCTTCTTGTCACTTCTGTATGAAAAAAGACCTACTGAACTGCAACCTCATTTGTATCTTCTAAAATGGTTTAGTTGCCCTAGTAGTTCAGCTGGAAATACATTGGTGTTTATTAAATAGTCACACTAAAATCACAGGGTGGTTTAATAGCCTTTTTACTTAAATATGCTGAAAACAGTGCTTGCTTCTTTCTACTAAGACATACAGAGCTGGAACATCTTCCAACTAGTACTTGGGACTATTTGCATTTTGGGCAAATCATGTAAACATGTTTTATTCTTCTGGTTGCCTGTTCATTTATCATTTTAAAAATTTTATATTGTTATTTCAGATCAGCTGGTGAACATGGGTCGCCACTTCGGAGACCTGGCCAAGGTCAGGCATATAATCACATACAGTCTGTCCCCCTTTGAGCAGAGGGCTTTCCCCAACTATTTCTCCAAGGGAATTCCCAATGTGTGGAGACGGTTCTCAACCTCTTTCTTTAAAGTTGCCCCCCGTAAGTTATTACATTTCTTTTTAGGAGTGGATGATATGGATAAAATCCTGTATGACTGTATATATAATACTGTGATATTTTTACTGACATATTGTGATCTGCTCATCACATTGATACAGAAGTCATATAAAAGCACTATTTCCATAAGGCAGTCCTGTTCATTGAGTTGCACCATTGCAATGGCCTGTCATTATCTGCCAGTATTCCCACACTGGGATCTGTAGCCTACCAGTTATCCACTTGCCTTTCTGCATGAGATTTAAGTTGTGTGTGTCTGTGTGTGTGTGTGTGTGTGTCTTTAAAATGTAAAGGGCAGCTCTGAAAAATAAGTCTGAAACTGATTTCTCAATTTCATTACTTTCAAACTTCTGACTCCAACCTGTGAGTGATGTCTCCTTTGGATCTCAGGTTTTGATGCTTGCTTTTTCTAGGAAAACTATATATATATTTACCAAATGTCGTGCACGATTACAAGTGCCTAAGGGTTGGGCTGGCGCCCAGTCAAATGGTAGGCTTCGACCCCAGCCTCTGTTTGGTTTAAATGATAAGTCACAGTGGATGACAAGAAGTACGGGCACATTTTTACTTCAGCAACACTTAAAGGGTCCAATGATGTGTTGGTAGCACATTTCTTTACTACACTTGTTGTAAATTTTACTTTAAAAGACAATCAACCCTATATTATGTTTTTTAAATTGTATTTTTTACGTTTTAGTAATATATGTGTTAACTTATGGGGGGAGTGAAGCAAATACTGCTGATCCTGATATTTTATGCTTTTAATTTTTCTCATGCAGAACATTTTATTGGGTCATTGTTTCTGGTCTACAGAAGTTAAATTTGGTTAATATTCCTTGTCTTTTTTTAGGATCTCTGCAGGGATAGTTTGATATTTACAAAACAACATTAACAAATAATAATTAAATTTAGTGATCGTACTGGTTTTAATTTGATTTGTCATCTTGCTTTTGCAGCCATGATTCTCATGTACCTGACATACAGCTGGGGCAACAGTGTCCATCAGCAGAGCAAGAGGAAGAATCCTGCTGACTTTGAGAACGATGAATGAACTCCTCACACCTTTCTGAAAGCTGCTCTGTTATTATTTCCAGCTCTGTATGTTTCACCAATAAAGATGAAAATATTTGAAAATCAGTCTTGATTGATTTTTCATTCAGCCTTCTGTTTGTGTTTGAAGTAATGTTCATTAAGTGTCATTTCGTGTGGATTTCAAAGTCAGTGCTACAGTTTTACAATTTGTTATACAAAATGTCATTTGTTAACCAAAAATGCCAGTAATTAGTACTTCCAACATCTCCAATGTGAATTCGCTGCCTTTCTCTGTTTTATGTTCTTGGGATCTGGGAAAGAAGGATTTTTTGACATGTTATATAAATTAGGGGATTTTGCCAATTATGGCCAGCTTCAATGTTTACATATTTCACTGGTTAGACAGTCGTCATACCTAACAAATAAACACATTTAAGATGATACGATATTGTGATAAGGTTTCATCTGCAGTATGGTGTCATGGTGGTAGTAGGGGATGGGGCTTTTATGTTGAAGTAGGCCACCGGAAATTGGTGAGCCACAGAATTCGATGGTATAGTAAAACGGGCAATGCATTGAAATGGCAACTGTATACGTACATTTCATAGACAGAAACCTGCTGTAATGGCTTCCTCGCCTCTGGGTGGCGCCCGACAACAGGGTGCAGTGCTCTGCAGTCAGACGCGATTGGTCGGCTGGGAAGTCAGAACATTTCTGACGCGCTCTCACGCATCTGCCGGCGCACCGCATGCTGCTACTCAGCTTCATGGAACAAGAACAAGGGTGGATCACCGTCCTCTGACTGAAATCCACTGTAGCCGCTGCTGTCACCGTTAGCACTGAACTGCATCTCTGTTCTTCCGTGTAACTACTGCACCCGCACACTGTTCAGTTAGCTAGCAAAGATGTCAGTTGTCGGATTTGACGTCGGGTTCTTGAATTGCTATGTAGCGGTAGCCAGAGCCGGAGGGATTGAAACTGTCGCTAATGAATACAGCGACCGATGTACACCGTAAGTAAGATTTACGTTAGACACGTTGTCGAGCTGGTATAGGATGTAAACGAATCCACTTTTTCTTCATCATAATATTGAGTCAGGCTAACGATGCTGTGTAGCTAGTAGTCAGCTAACAGATTTCACAACAGGAAACGGCATGTGAGTGCTAAAGCTAATGCTAGCTGAAACCAAAACCGTTGTGAGTAACAGTGAAGAAATCCCGGAACCACTTGACAAGATTAACTGGTTCTTGTGGTGACTTAATACAGTAATGTCGTCGAGATAAACTAGAAACTAATTATTGACCTGCCCAGTCAGGTGATAGGATTTTTTTTACTGCAGGCATGAATGAGCGCATGATGTGAGGAGGCCGGATCCTGGCTGTCAAAACGGCTTCATCAATCCATTGTACTTAATTTTCAGACCCGTAGTCCATAGAAGAAACCGATAAGAAATATAGAATATACCCGTGCAATCTTATTTCTAATGTAATTAATTATTATCACGTGATATCGTCATCATCACAATCAATTAACATTTTTATTACTGGTTACATTAACCCTATACGAAACTGTGTCATTGCATCAAATGTTGTAAAAGAGAGAACTGAAGTGTGTTTTCTGTTTTTAGAGCATGTGTTTCATTTGGGCCCCGGAATCGATCGATCGGTGCAGCTGCTAAAAGCCAGGTATGTTTTCATGGGAAGTGGTGGGAAAGTGGATCCGTGATCACTAACCTGTCAAGAGGATTCAATGTTCATAGTGCATTGAGTATGAGCACGACTAGTACCAGGCATGGATACACCTCAAATTCAATTAATCTCACAATTTGCTTAGGCGTGCATGTATTTAATAGTGTGGTGTTTATCATTTTTTTCTACAGATCGTCACAAACTGCAAGAACACAGTCCAAGGGTTCAAGAGGTTTCATGGCAGGGCATTTTCAGATCCCTTTGTGCATCGCCTCAAAAACAGTCTGGTCTACGACATTGCACAAATGCCTGCAGGAACAACCGGCATCAAGGTGAGAGAACAATGACGAACATTGACAGTTGCAATCTGCAGATTGTTCTAGCTACAATCCAGACACACTGGATTTGTCATACTTATGCTCTGCTCTCACTCTGGAAGACCTGAGTGATGACTCCCATATATTGTTATCATTTAGCCAGGCAGCCCAAGTAAATTTTGGCTGGAGAAAAGAAACATTCCTCAGGCACTCAGAGCAAGGAAAAAAGCCTTTATTCAATTGGGGATATTTATGGTTTAAAACAATAAAGGGTTTTGACCCATGAAGGCAGAGATGATAAAAAGAGTGTCATTACACATGATAATCTATAAAGACAGTACACTGGAAGTAACCATTATTCTGTCCCACTGACAGATACAAAGAAAACACACTTTCACAATAATATTAAACTGTTAAAATAGTTAAGCTGATAAAACAGCAGACATACTAGTCATATTACACAGCATGATACACTCCTTTTAAATTGGTATATGTAGGGGTATTGTGTTTATTTAAATTATTATTGGATTATAATCCGTTATTTAATTCAGACCTGAATATATCTTTTTTTCTGTTGTGTGGTGTCAGTCTGGTGCTTAGAGTTTTTTTCAAACACAGCTTTAATGCCAACAAGCACCAAAAACTAGCACCTATGACACACATGTGTTGTGAAATGTCTGTGTCATCACAAGTTGAACGGAAAAGTTTGAAATGCAGCCTCGATGATACTGTTGAAGTATAAGTCATGTTGTTCGGACTGACTGAGAGACATTGGTACTTGAAAACCTTATGGTTACAGGCAATGTTAACTGAAGCTAATAAGTCAAACTGCATGTTTGGAAATGTGATTTTATTGTTAGATTTAATGGTTAAATTATTTTTGACATTTGGCAAAGGAATGAGGTAGATAGTTGTGTTTTTTTAACAGCCCATTTTCATGCAGTCACTCGCTCTGTAAACCACTAATTTTGACCTGACAGGATGTTGAGCGGTGGAATAATCCTCTCTGTTGTCTGACAATTTGGTACTAAAGGTGATGTACATGGAGGAGGAGAAGGTGTTCAGCATTGAACAGGTCACCGCCATGCTGCTGACCAAGCTGAAGGAGACCGCAGAGAGTGCTCTTAAGAAGCCTGTGGCAGACTGTGTCGTGTCTGTGAGTATTGCACATTACTGTACAGCTGTTGATGCTGTTTTTGCACATGATATGAAGTGGGGCAAAAATATTTAGTCCCTTTGCCAGCATATTAAAGCTTAAATGCTTCACCCACACAGATGATGGTAATTATGTTGCCTGGTTACACCTGTTATCAGTGTTTATTAGTTCACAATAGTTTGCTGATTCCCAGCATAGCGCCACCCGACTTGAGCCTGTCTAGTCAAGGTTAATTGAACACATGAAACATGAGCAGCTATAATATTTCTACATGCAATCACTCAGAAACATTTACTGCAGAGCCTGTTTCTCCTAGTGTATGACAACAGCCAATACTGAACCTTTTCCCCCCACATAGATAGAGCAGTTTCTGAGGATAGGGGAGATGGATTAACTCAGGCTACATGTTATTTATTTTTTTAAAGAAAACCTCAAACCTCTCTTAAATGTTAAGATTTCTCACTGTGCAGTAAGAAGTGAGATTTTGTCTCATCCTCTCTTTTATGACAAAGTGAACACAGCATGGCCTCCCTGGGTAGCCAGTTCTGCCTGTGACTGCCCTTTTCTGTGGCCAGGCTGTGTCCACTCAGTCTGTACATTGTCCTTAGTTTTCTATCAGTCACAGTGGTCAGGTACTCTGCTACCATGTGAGCTGATGGTTTTGAGATGATTTGGTTGGGGTCTGTTCTGAAGCCCTGTAGAGGACTCTTACTTACTGTCCCTCCCACCAAAAGTTCAGCATTACAACAAAACAAAAGACTTATAGGCCCAAGTTACTCTGTTAACATGTTTAATTGTTTATTAAATACATCCTGGATATAAACAAACTAAACCAAAATTTAATCAGTTAAAATTATTTAAAAAAAAAAAAGTTTAACAATTTACTTTTAAAACAAAACATACTAACAGACTCAAACATGATATGCTCTCTCTCCTGCCATTTAATAAAAAACTTTCCACAGAGCAACGGCTACAAGTCACCTCTATGACGGTTCGCCATGGTAGCGACATGTCAATCATAAGATAGTCCCGCCCTAAAGCATACACTGCTTTCTGGTTTATTTCCCCCTAAATAGGACCAAATTTAACTAAATCAACATCATGCTGTGTTGAAAAAGACTTGAAACTAGTGTCTGAGACCCATAAACCCATAATGAAAGTGTTTACTGAGGTAATAATTCAGTAAGTACCAACATTTTACCATTATTTCAAATGGAACAGGTGTAACACCTGCATTAAGTTGTATGTCTGTTAAGTATGTTTTTGCACAACTCTGCATGCAGTGCTTCCAGCTGATGTTTTGTCTTGGCTTGTAAGCAGACCCCACACTTCTGTACCATATCAAATTATTGAGTCTATAACTGTATTTTTAATTTAGACCCAGGTCCTTATTGGAATGTCAATCGGAATTTTTTGATGGCTTAAAAAGCTGTCATTCTCCTTCAGCTCACTCACAGCTATGCCAGTGTTTAATATATGTTTAAAATGCTCTTCTCTTGTGACCAGGTTCCCTGCTACTACACTGATGCTGAAAGGAGATCAGTGGTAGATGCTGCTCAGATTGCTGGTCTTAACTGCCTGAGGCTTATGAATGAGACAACTGCAGGTCTGTATTAAAGATGTGCATGTTGTGAGGTGCACACTTTAACATTGATTGGTCCAGTAGCTGTTTACTTCATTAATAATTTAACAACTTTCCTTCCAGTGGCATTGGCTTATGGGATCTATAAACAGGATCTCCCTGCTCCTGAGGAGAAGGCCAGGAATGTGGTGTTTGTGGACCTGGGCCACTCTGGATACCAGACATCTGTGTGTGCCTTCAATAAGGGCAAACTCAAGGTGTGTAGCCCAATCAACATGCTGTGCGTTCATTATCACTCTGTGAGAGGCTTTGTTTCATTCATCTTCTTCGTGTCTCCCAGATCCTTGCTACGGCTTGTGACCCAGAGTTGGGAGGAAAGGACTTTGACGAGGAACTGGTGAAGTATTTCTGTGAGGAATTTGGCAAGAAGTACAAGCTTGATGTCAAGACAAAGCCCAGGGCCCTGGTCCGGCTCTACCAAGAGTGTGAGAAACTGAAGAAACTGATGAGCGCCAACTCCTCTGACCTGCCGCTTAACATTGAGTGCTTCATGAATGACATTGATGTCTCTGGAAAAATGAACAGGTAGGTTGAAGAATGGTTTGTTGCTTTTAGGTATCCATGGTTCATATCTACTGTGTCCTTTTGAAGTCTTAAATTATGCTCACCTTTTCTCTTGTACAAGGGCAAAGTTTGAAGAGATGAGTGCTGACATTTTGACCCGGATTGAGGCTCCACTGCAGAGTCTCCTGGAACAATCCAGTAAGTAAAATTTTCCCCAGTTGTGGGGCTTTCTTATTAACTCGGTTAAATAACATAAGGTGTGCAAGTGCATTAGTTGGTGCAATAATTAAACTGTCTGTTTTCCACAAGAACTGAAAAAGGAAGACATCTATGCAGTGGAGATAGTGGGTGGAGCTTCCAGGATCCCAGTCGTCAAAGAGAAAATCAGCAAATTCTTTGGGAAGGAGTTGAGCACCACGCTGAATGCTGATGAAGCTGTGGCCAGAGGGTGTGCTCTGCAGGTACTTTTGGTTTCAAAGCTAGTCTCTCCCCCATTGCTCACAAGAAAATACTCACATCAGCGCTTGAATAAGCATTGAAAATAATCTGAAAGGGCAGCTCTTATTGAAACACTGATTGTGTCTCCACAGTGTGCGATACTGTCACCTGCCTTCAAAGTGCGTGAATTCTCCATCACAGATGTTTCTCCCTATCCCATCTCTTTGAAGTGGCATTCTGCTGCAGAGGATGGTGTGAGGTAAAAAACAAAACAAAAAAAACATTTTTATCATTTCTAGCATTACGTTGTCCTACTGTGTCTGGTCTCCATTTTGAAAGTAATAATTATAATGAAATATTCATTTGTTGCAGTGATTGCGAGGTATTTCCCAAGAACCATGCAGCACCTTTCTCCAAAGTGCTGACCTTCTACCGGAAAGAGCCTTTTTCTTTGGAGGCCTACTACAACAGCCCTAATGAGCTGCCTTATCCTGATCCCACTATTGGTGAGCAACTAAAGCTTTCTAAGTGATCCCTGACCTCCAGGGCAGTGGTTCTCAAACTGGGGTCTGAAGACGCCCCTGGGTCCTTTTTAGAGGGCTTTGGGGGGTCCCCTGCAAAAGGAGAAAAAATTATTCCATTCATAAGTAACAGAATGTATGACTATTTTGATCATGGTTTTCTTACACTTTCTGTAGTAAAACATCCAAAAGCAAAAATCCTATCAGATGGGTGACCTTGAGACAAAATCTTATCAAATGAGGGTCTGAAGTATAATTTGTGTCAGTTTAGGGGTCCTTGACATGAAAAAGTTTGAGAACCACTGATCTAGGAGATAGAAAGACTCAAACTTGCATAAATGAACTTGCAAATAGTTGCCTACCTACACATCAAGGTTGTTATAGTTTTGGATTTTTATTTCATTTTGACTTGTTGTTTGTTTAGTTTTAATTAGTTTTTAACGGAGGTTTCTTGTTTAGTTTTTATTTTTTGAAAATGCTTAGTTTTAGTTTAGTTTTTATTAGTTTCAGTGTTTTAGTCTTTGTCGCTGCAGCATGCCAAGCTCAGTTCAGGTTATTTTATTCACAAAACATTCAAATACAAGTACAATCATTAGAAATTATGCACATTTGTGAAAAGGGACACCATTTTTTTAAGCTATCTGAAACTTGTACATAAGGGCCCAAACACTAAGCAAATATTTGAAGTACTAACACATTGTCTAAATCAGTGGTTCTTAACCTGGGGGTCGAATGCTGCTATAGACACAAAAATAGAAAAAAAACTACTTAAAAATAACTAGACGGACTATAGTTGTGAATGGAATCACTGTAAATATTTTGTACTGTTTAATACAGCAGGTGGCGGTAAAGCCAACCACTATAAAATGACAAAGAAGAATCAGGCCCTGATCAGACAAAGCGCTTTGCAGGTTCGAAAACATAAGGCGCACAGCAATGGCATTTGGTTGAATTTAGAAAAGAGCAAAGCGCTGCGTTTTTTTTAATGTTGCTAGGCAACCACTGAATCAGCTGTCCTGTCAGTGTAATCAAAGATTATAGTGCCAGCGATCTGTAATCTTTGGTTTGCCTCTAAGTAATAACTGTCATATTAGCAGAAACTTGATCACAATTTGCAGGTCTGAGTCTTTTGTTGCTAAAAAACATCTGTCAAATGCAGAGCGCCTGCTCTGGCACTGTTTTGAGTGTGTGAGGTGTACAAACACGCAGGAGACAGGGAAACTGAGATCCGTGTGGGCACATGAGACCCTCAGAAAGGGGAGACACCGCTGGTAGTAGGCTACCACCAGCTGGTCCAGGAGCTTCGTATTAATAATTGTTGGTTCAAGGCTTATTTTAGGATGAGTCGGGGACAGTCTGGACGATCCAAGCAACTGTAAACTTCCGTCAGCACAACTGAGGGTCCGTCTCTCCATTCAATGGGGGGAAAAAATGCGAATGACGTCGGGCACGAGTTACCATTTTTTTCAACTCCGTGCGCTCAGAGCGCTCATTCAAAAACGCAAGGTGCAGCAGGTGGCCAAAACACGAGGCACACAGGGCGCGGTAACAGCGTGCAGAACTGCCAAAAGGCGGGGGTCGCGAAATATTTTCAACTTCAAAAAGGGGTCGGACTGCCAGAAAGGTTAAGAACCCCTGGTCTAAATACACTCACCTAAAGGATTATTAGGAATACCTGTTCAATTTCTCATTAATGCAATTATCTAATCAACCAATCACATGGCAGTTGCTTCAATGCATTTAGGGGTGTGGTCCTTTGTCAAGACAATCTCCCGAACTCCAAACTGAATGTCAGAATGGGAAAGAAAGGTGATTTAAGCAATTTTGAGCGTGGCATGGTTGTTGGTGCCAGACGGGCCGGTCTGAGTATTTCACAATCTGCTCAGTTACTGGGATTTTCACGCACAACCATTTCTAGGGTTTACAAAGAATGGTGTGAAAAGGGAAAAACATCCAGTATGCGGCAGTCCTGTGGGCGAAAATGCCTTGTTGATGCTAGAGGTCAGAGGAGAATGGGCCGACTGATTCAAGCTGATAGAAGAGCAACTTTGACTGAAATAACCACTCGTTACAACCGAGGTATGCAGCAAAGCATTTGTGAAGCCGCAACACGCACAACCTTGAGGCGGATGGGCTACAACAGCAGAAGACCACTCAGTACCACTCATCTCCACTACAAATAGGAAAAAGAGGCTACAATTTGCAAGAGCTCACCAAAATTGGACAGTTGAAGACTGGAAAAATGTTGCCTGGTCTGATGAGTCTCGATTTCTGTTGAGACATTCAGATGGTAGAGTCACAATTTGGCGTAAACAGAATGAGAACATGGATCCATCATGCCTTGTTACCACTGTGCAGGCTGGTGGTGGTGGTGTAATGGTGTGGGGGATGTTTTCTTGGCACACTTTGGGCCCCTTAGTGCCAATTGGGCATCGTTTAAATGCCACGGCCTACCTGAGCATTGTTTCTGACCATGTCCATCCCTTTATGGCCACCATGTACCCATCCTCTGATGGCTACTTCCAGCAGGATAATGCACCATGTCACAAAGCTCGAATCATTTCAAATTGGTTTCTTGAACATGACAATGAGTTCACTGTACTAAAATGGCCCCCACAGTCACCAGATCTCAACCCAATAGAGCATCTTTGGGATGTGGTGGAACGGGAGCTTCGTGCCCTGGATGTGCATCCCACAAATCTCCATCAACTGCAAGATGCTATCCTTCAATATGGGCCAACATTTCTAAATAATGCTTTCAGCACCTTGTTGAATCAATGCCACGTAGAATTAAGGCAGTTCTGAAGGCGAAAGGGGGTCAAACACAGTATTAGTATGGTGTTCCTAATAATCCTTTAGGTGAGTGTAAATACTACAAATAAATGAAGCACATGCAGTCCACAGTATAATTTCTAACCAACATACAGAAAACCCTAAGAGCTAAACTACCCTTATCCTACTACCAAGTGGTCCCAAGAAATTCATTACATCAGTCTCTAGCTCTATCATTCTTGGTTAAATAGGTGAAATGCAATAAATGGACAGATTAGAAATTGGAAGATAGTGGAGGCCCCCTTGGAGCCACAAACAACAGGTCCCTAGCACCCTGAAGGAAAGTATGACTGGAAAGCAGTTATATTAAAACCTAAACCTTAATTAATCAAACTTGAAGCACAAGGAGACAGGTTGGCTATCAGTGAGGCCTTAAAACACACAGTAGCTGACATGCAGTAAATAAAATGACAGCAGATGCGTTAACCCAGCGCAAGGGGAGCTCACAGTCAGTGGGCATGGGGCAAGTTAATCCCACACGCAGGATGAGCCAGATAAGCCAGAACATATTCATATTATTTTGTACACATGTATGTATAAAAGACAATAGAAAACATGTTCAAATCCCACCAACTATACAGCTGACCCCTACCTGGGTTTCCCCGACGAAGTTAGCCTACCCCTAACGTTACATGGGGCTTTCCTCGTAACAGGGGTCACCACCTGCTATGCTGCAGCCACATGCTGCCCTGACCCTGGGCTCTGTTGATGGATGCACCATGCCAACTCTTCATGCGGAGGACAAAAGCATAACACACCGGCGGCTCACCAACAGGTGCCTGTCGCACGCACCGCAGTGATTAGCGCATTATTTCGTTTGTCTTCGTTAACGACGATAACCTTGCTACACATCCAGCAGACAGATTAGCTTCTTGTTGTGCTTCTGTCTACCTGTCAAATAGAAGACAAGTGTTTATTCTCCCTTTAGCGCTAGTTTGGTCCTAAGAATATCTGGGTTAATTAAGATGCTCAAATTGATAAGCAGAATTTAAATTTCCGACCTCACCTGCCAAGACTAATAGCATCAGGAGAATCCTTCAATCTCTTTTGGCAGCTTCATTGATGCTATTACTCTGGTTTTATTTCTTCCTTACAGGTCAGTTCCTGATCCAGAAGGTTGTCCCACAGGCATCTGGGGAGAGCTCCAAGGTGAAGGTCAAGGTGCGGGTGAACATCCACGGTATCTTCAGTGTGTCCAGCGCCTCCCTGGTTGAAGTTCAGAAGTCTGATGAGACTGAGGAACCCATGGAAACAGAACAGGTCAATGACAAAGATGGAGAGGTACTTAGGGCTAATAAGTGTCCTTTTACACTGAGCATCAGATCAGTATGTGTCCGTTCAGCTATTTGTACTTTGTTATTTTGAAACTAAAAAATATCTGGTTTTCATCACTCCCCTGCAGAGCAAGATGCAGACCGATGATCAGGATGAGCAGCAGGGTCAGGGAGAGGGTCAGAAAGAAACGGAAGAGAAGACGCCACGTGAGAATGAGGAGATGGAGGTAAGATGCTCAGTTTTCGTGTAAAACAAATACAGAGTTACCAATTTATTAGATTGTGTTTACAAGGAGATACAATTGACCCTTTGCTAAGCCACGCCCCCCTTAGTTACTGTTGCCAAGTCCACCAAACTGTCAGAGCTGTTGGAGTGGCGCTGCCACTGTCTATTACTGCACTCCCCAGAGAAATATTGATAAACGTGTTGGAAAACGCGATCTCAGAAAGAAGCAAACAGTTTTGCAGTTGAATTATACATTTGAAGGTTGTATTCAGGCTGTCAAACTGATTAAAAGAGACGTGAAAAAAATGAAAGATGGAAGCTAAAGCCTACCGATCACACAGTACAAGTGAACCACCGCATCCCCTGACAATTGAGACAAAAGACAACGATATTAAGGATCAACACTGTTCCTGTAAAGCTGGGTAGGCCTCTATTCATTATTACAATCATTAAAAAGGAGAACAGTAGGGATTTATAACATTACACTCAGTAGGAAGTTAGCTAGCATTAGCTAACTAACATCACATTAGGAACAACCCACAGCCGACATTTTTCTGGATTTATTTAGGTTTTGGAAAGAGAATAAATCGTACTTCTCCTTTCAACCTTTTTGGGTAACAACTGTAACTATTACAAGTGCCCCGGGAACAGCGTTTGACCATATCTTGGAAAAATACGGCAGAAGAAAGCTAGAAAATGACTCTTTTTGCATTAGAGTCAATGGAGTGCAGCCATTAAAGTGTCTGACCTCAGTTAGAGCGAGTGCTATACTGCGCTGTGATTGGCCAGCTGTGTATTCGGGGCGGGGCTTAGCAAAGGGTCAAAAGTCATTGCATGTCTTGATTTGAGTGATATTTTGAATCTTAATGCCTATTCTCTCATCTTTCAGACTACCACAGAGGACGGCAAAAGCGAGAAGAAGGCCGACCAGCCCCCACAAGCCAAAAAGCCTAAAGTCAAAACAAAAGTCCTGGAGCTTCCAATTGAAAACAGTCCACAGTGGCAGCTAGCAGATGACATGCTCAACCTTTTTGTAGAAAATGAGGTAACTTTCAGCCACCTCACCCACACACACATTACTGATCTACCCATCTGACTGTCATCTTTAATTACTTGATATATTTGGCAGTGTTTTCACGGTAACATGGGTTCTCCTCAGGGCAAGATGATCATGCAGGACAAGCTGGAGAAGGAGAGGAATGATGCAAAGAATTACGTAGAAGAGTATGTGTACGACATGAGGGACAAACTACATGGCATGTTGGAGAAGTTTGTCAGTGAGTCTGTGAGTAAAACGCCACTTCTGACTCATTTTGAAGGAAGAATTATGATCAAAATTGTAATTTGTAAACACTGTAGAACACATTTGGCTTCCCACATTTTTTTATTGTAGGACCGAGATGCTTTGTCAGTAAAGCTGGAGGATACTGAAAACTGGTTGTATGAAGATGGAGAGGACCAACCCAAACAGGTGTACATTGACAAACTGGCAGAGTTGAAGGTAATTATTGCTGTAGTAATTGCTGTTTTCTCTATCAATTAGTTGATGTTTTTATTTTTTAAACTGACGTGTATTCTATGTTTGCTACAGAAACTTGGCCAGCCCATCCAGGAGAGGTACATGGAGGCTGAAGAGCGACCTAAAGCATTTGAGGAGCTGGGAAAACAAATCCAGCAGTACATGAAATTTGTTGAAGCATTCAAAATAAAGGTAAAACTGAAGGCTTTTTATTATTACTTCTATGCCCATTACGGCCTTTAGCTCACACACAACACACACAGGTGTTATTGGGTAGCCTTTAAAATGACACTAGAATACTATTAATCTAGACTATTGTTGTTCATCTTTACACCACATACAAAGTGAAGACATCGTTACAAATAAAAGTAATAATGCAAGTGGTAATTAGTAACACTACGTTTGTTTTTTTGTATTTCCATTTGATTTCCAGGAGGAGCAGTATGACCATTTAGATGAGGCAGATGTCACTAAAGTGGACAAACTGACCAATGATGCAATGATCTGGATGAACAGCGCCATGAACCAGCAAAGCAAACAGAGCTTGGCGGTGGATCCCCCTATCAAAGTAAAAGACATTCAAGCAAAAACAAGGGTGAGTCTCATTAGGATGCGTCATACCAAAGGAAAAAGTGACTAGAATGCAGGAAATTTAAAATGGAGAAGCCCATGAACTTTTTTCCATCACATATGTTAGTGTTGACACATGAGACACTTAGGTCAACCATCTACCAGTAACTGCTACTTCACCATGCCTCTCTCACCAATAGGAAAAAGATTCATAAAATCACTAACACTTCCTCCAAAATAATAGGTCTTCCCACTCCCAACCTGCCAGCCCTCATTAATACTGCCACTGCTCATGGAGCAACTACCATAGTACACAATTCCAGCCACCCTCTCAACTCATGCTTCACCCTTCTCCCATCTGGCCGTAGTTACAGACAGCTGTTCTACAAAAAGGCACGCTTTGGGAAAGGTTTTGTAACCTGCGCTACAAGAGCGTTAAACTCGCAGACAGGTTAATGTTGTCACTCCTGTGTAGATATGTGTTTGTATAGTACACGTTAGTACACATTATCTGTATATGTGCACTACATGTAGTTTGTGTGTAGAATTCATGTTGAAGGTGCTCTTTGTACAGACTGAAAACAAATTTCCTCCACTGAGGACAATAAAGAATGAATCTGATTCTGAACATGAGTGACTTTGGAGTCTACATTGCAATTATTTATTGGTCCAGGACCAATTGGTAGATCTCCCACACACTTATAATTCCTAATAAATTCTTAACTAAACCACTATTACATGTTTTGTTCATTTGTGTAATTCTCCAGGAGCTGTTCTCCGCTTGTAACCCCATTGCGACCAAGCCCAAGCCCAAGGTGGAGCTTCCCAAGGAGGACACGCCTGCTGAGCAGAACGGGCCTGTCAACGGACAGGAGAAACCCCAGGAAGAAAATGCAGACAAGGGAAAGGCTGAGAACACAGGCAACCCCACCTCAGAAACCACAGAAAACAAGCCTGACATGGACCTTGATTAAAGCTGTCTAACGCCTCCCATAAGCAAAGCTGAATGGGAGTTGGTTGTTTCAGATTGAGATACAGCCCGGGTGTATATCAGAGCAAGTTAAGTGTTTCAGGAACTGCACTTCACAGTCAAATGCAGGCAGCAGGTGATTAGCACACTGAGCCCAGCTCCTGGTGGTATCTCTCTGATGACATAGCATGCCCCCCCCTCTTTCTGGATTACATAAATCTAAAGCCAGCCGCAATAAAAGCCTGTTTGACAGTGAGCGCTGTACACATGATGGTATTTATTTCTGTTGTGTGCTCTGTAGTGTTCTGGTCTGTGTCACAATATGGTTTTAATAAAGTTATTGAAAATCACATGTAGCACATGTGATTCAAATCACATGTATCTTTTGTTATTTTGTTCAAAGATGCTCCAGGCTTCACAGAGCTATTGCTTTCAAGGGGGTGTAGCTACCATTGAAGACGCAGGTCATTGTAACACATTAGCGTTTTGGGTTTTAAATGACAGATTCTGATGTGGGTTTTTTCAACTCTCTTTCGATATTAAAATTGTACTGGTTTTTAGTGAAAAGCTAAAATAAGAGACTTATTAGAGGAACAGCATGTATCCTCAATGTGTATATAGGGGAAATTAAACAGTTAAATGTGTTTAGCTGGTGAGTGGGGCTCATGACCTTACTATTGTTTTTTAAAAGTACAGGTTAAAGCTGTGCTAGTTGTTCCAGAGTAAATGTCCCACACTTCTATAAAACAGGTTCTATAAAAACACAAGACAGTTGGTGATAGGTTTGAGTTCAGGGCAACTACATGTAAACTCAAAAGCATTTATACTGTAAAAGAAGGAACTTTCCACCCCTGGTTTGGTTTTGCTAATGTAGGAACATTGCGAGCAAGGGGGGCGACTTAGGTTTTCTTCCTGTCGGTGAAATAATATAGCTTAGGTGACACCAAACAAGGGAGGTTGTCGTTTGAAAAATTGCCGTCTCGTTTAATGCCCGCACTAATAATTTACAAGTTGTATGTTAAGACAACTGGAAAACAGAGTGTTAACGAAGTACTAAGACCCGCGGAAAGTGTCATTTACGGGAAAAAAGGGATTTATCCTACATCAAAGAATGGCGAAAAGGCTTGATCTTGTTGTCTGGAAGGGATTTTTTTTAACCCTAACTATACTAGTATAGTAAACTACTAGTAAAAGTAGTTGATAGTATTTGTGCATATAGTCTAAGAATAACTAATTTCATCATCCCAAGTTTGATGAACTTCTTATGGACCTGCTTTATTTCTTATTATCACTGGAATTCATTGTAATCGACTATATGAGTTGGCTTTTCTTTCATTTATCAATGAACACGCATTGTTTCATTTTCTAATCCGCACCCGGAAGTATTCCTTTTGAGATTTGCGCATAGGATTTGCGGTAGCTTTAAAGTACCGATATACAATATTATACAGTATACAAAAACTTCATATTTATTCAATGTTCATTCAGTTCATTACCGGGATACATAAGGTGAAAGTAATCTTGTCCCTTAGTACGTGAAATTATGGAGCAGTTTATTACAGCACCTTCAATTGTTATCCTTAATCCTGAACAGGATTCCACTGAAAGTTTTAGCAAACCTATAAAGATTTTATAACAGTTTAAAGGTGAATAAATAACAAATGTGTTATTGTAACTTGAGGTGACTTTCCAATTATTTTTCTCAGAAACTGTACAGTTAAACAACTTCAAATATTATTGTTGTATAAATATTTGACGTGTACTACAATGTAGTTTGTACTTGGCATATCTAAATTGAGAAACATGCTTTCGTCCTTTTTGTCCGCTCCAAGCACCTGTACCGTAACAGCAGGAATAGACGCGCATCGAAATCCAGACGGCGGCCATAGACTGTATAAAACAGGCGACTGGTTTCACGGGAGTCTCGGACATCGCTGTTAGCATCCAACAGCAGGAATCACATGATCCAGATCCTGTCTGCTGCGAGTAAAAGCCAACGATATTCCAAGGTATGGGTGTATGCAATTCACTATTTTCATTGGATGTTATTGGAACAAAACTACAGTGAAAGTTTTGGTCACACTGCGCGGTTGCGTCAAAGTTGTCAGTGTTTTTGGCAGCTTTAATGCTTGAACAGTGATCTCATTTTACTGTTGCTGCATACTATAGTTATCTTGAAGAGTCTAAAGTCTGACTTAGGTGTGTTTTGCCCTGAATTACTTCAAGGCTGAGCCCCTTCACATAAGCAACCCATTATTCTTTCCTTGTTTTTTTCCTTAGGGACAATGAAGCTGATCATCCTCAATGACTACGACCAGGCAAGCGAGTGGGCTGCAAAGTACATTAGAAACAAGATTTTACTGTTCAAACCTGGCCCGGACAGATATTTCACGTTGGGGCTCCCCACAGGTAAGCAGGAGCTGGATACCCCGTACAGCTGTGTGTGACTTATAAGATATTGTGTAAAAAGATGATAAAGTCAGCAATATTTCCCCCTACATCTGCCGATTGTGTCAGCGGTGGAAATAGCCATCAGGCCATGTGCTTATATAATCCAAATGTTCAAATCTTTCTTAAATGTGTAAAGTATTATTAAAATGAGCTTATGTTAGAAGTACTAAACATTCTTGCTGAAAGTTAAAATATTGATGCATGGTTCTGTAAAAACTGTCTAACTCAGCTTGGCTTACTTCTACATGCAGATGGGAAGTTTAAAATAGAACTATGCATCATATTTTAGGGTCATTACATGTTTTGCATGCAAACGTTATACTGCAAAGAACCAGTATCACTGTAAAAATATAATCCTTTCCTTGAAACAGAATAAAGTCTCCCAAATGAAAAGACTGAATCACAATAATATGCCTTAGTATGTACTTGATTAGGTGCACTTTGTTAGTTTCCTCTTTTGCGTTTGCCTGCTTGTTTTCAGGAAGCACTCCCCTGGGTTGTTACAAGAAACTGATCGAGTATTACAAGAATGGAGAAATCTCATTCCAGTATGTAAAAACGTTCAACATGGATGAATATGTCGGTAAGTCCTCACTGTTCTCTCGCTCCGACATGAAACGGTGACACATTCAGGAATTCTTGAAATGTGGGATCTTGAAACTGTCCTTTTATTTCCCGCGTAGGACTTCCCAGAGATCACCCTGAGAGCTACCACTCCTTCATGTGGAATAACTTCTTCAAGCACATAGACATAAAAGCAGAGAACACCCACATCCTAGATGGCAACGCTGCCGACCTGCAAGTAGAGTGTGAAGCCTTTGAGAAAAAGATAACCGCTGCCGGGGGGATCGAGCTCTTTGTCGGAGGTCAGGAGGTCACAGTGCTGATAATGAATTTACTATTACCACCTTTGCAGTGACTACACATTTCAGATTTGTGCTCAGTCCCAGGTATCAAGTGATTTTAAAGTCACCGTTGAAGCTGCAGTAAAATTAAAACTACGCCTCCTGTCCTGTCAGGTATTGGACCAGATGGCCACATTGCCTTCAATGAGCCTGGTTCAAGTCTGGTTTCCAGGACTAGGGTGAAGACTCTGGCAAAGGACACTATCATGGCTAACGCTCGATTTTTTGATGGGGATCTCTCAAAGGTGCCCACCATGGCTCTGACTGTGGGAGTGGGCACTGTCATGGACGCAAAAGAGGTTAGAAGCCTAGATAAATGTCAACCATGGGTTCTGTTGTGTCTTCTGTTGCTTTATGTTTCTGCAAAGTCTCAAATATACCATTTGTTAGGAATCATCATTGTCTTCTGTCAGAACTTTGCTTTGAGTTGCTCAGTGAGCTTGTCATCTTCCTGATGCACCAAAATACACCAGCTGTGAGTTTCTCTTGCTCAGTCACACAGGCCCCAGGTCACATTTTCAATTTCTTGCCAGGTCATGATCCTCATCACTGGAGCACACAAGGCATTTGCTTTATACAAAGCTATAGAGGAAGGCGTGAATCACATGTGGACAGTGTCTGCGTTCCAGCAGCACCCGCAGACTGTTTTTGTATGTGATGAAGACGCCACCCTGGAACTGCGAGTGAAAACTGTAAAGTACTTCAAAGGTGAGAGACCACATCACAAAGCTGCTAAATTTGACTTGTAATAAATTGCCAACCAGGTTGCATTAAAGGATAGTTTCTGTATTTTTAAACATGGGCCCTATTTTCACCTATTTTGGTGTTGAAATGACTGTTAGGTACAAATATTTTTGGAATCACTCTTAATGGCTTCAGCCAGGAGACGTAACCCTGTATTAGACACAATGTACTCCTTCTGTGTTATTGTACCCATCAAAATGATGTCCACAAAAGTGCTTCTTTATGCCCCAGATAGGCTCAGACTGTTATATGAGGTGTCTAACAACATGAGAATCAGAATGGGGTTTATTGCCAGGTTAACAAACAAGGAATTTGCCTTGATATATTGGTGCTTTAGAACATAAATATATAAATATAGATAAAGTAAAGAGATCAAAAATGTACAAGTATACAAAACAAGCAATGTGCAAAAATTCACAGTAAGCATAAAATAATTAGTTAAATGGACATAGATCAAGTTGAGCATTGTTGTAACAACATCATAGAAAGGATCCCTACAAGTGACAAGCCAGTGACACACTTAGTTTTTAACCAGAAACAAAAGTCTTGCTCAAGAACAATTCTCGCTCTGAAATCATGTGAGAGGCATGTTGTTGTTGTTGTAGAAAGGTGACGGTACAGCTGGTTTGCGGCTGCTGGCTTAAGCCATCTACTGCACAGATACCAAAACTTTCTGTATCTACTAGTCATTTCGACAAAAGACGTGTGTTTGTGAAAATAGGGCTCAGGTTTAAAAATACCAAAATTATCCTTGAAGCTAAACTATTTGCAGAACAAACATGAATCTTACAAAACATGCTGATTCTTGCTCTTTCTTTAGGGATGATGCACGTACACAACAAGCTGGTGGAACAACCTCTTTCAGGGCCAGAGAAGAACTGAGGATATCTTTTCCAAATGCTGTGGATTCATGAGGCATTGAAAAATGAGCACTCCAATGATTCCTTGATCTTGTGGTAGGGACAACATTCGTGGCCATCAAGCAGTGCTTGGTGTTAACCTCAACTAATCCTTGTAGAAAAAACAAATCAGGTGCTGATGTTGTGCAGGCTATTCAGGTGATTGTTCATACATATTTGCTTCTCGTTTGTTCTTTTAAATAAAGTGCATTTAATTTTCTGTTTCTGTGTGTTGTTGGAGATCATGCTACTGCCTCCTGTCACATGACAACATGGAACAGCCAATGTTGCCTTTAAGTGCTCCTTGTAAACTTCTTCTTGGAGTCGAAATGGAGGAGCAAAGATTCCTGGTTGTCCGTGGTGGAATATAACTAAATACATTTACTCAGACAAGTACGCTTACTGTATAGTTTTGAGGTACTTCTATTTGACTAGAGTATTTTGGTTTTTAGCTATTTCACTCCACTACATTTATCTGACAGCTATAGTTGGTGGTGACGTTGCAATTTAAGATTTTATAAACAAACCTTATGATCATTTTATAAAATACGATGAATTGGAAATGATAAATTACCCAATTATATAAAGTCATTGCCTACACTTTGACAAGGTACAACATTAAAACACTATTACTCATTATTGGTAATAAACAACAATGTAACACACCGTAACATAACGCTGTGGAATGTGCTATTCTGTATAATGAGTACTTTAACTATTGATAAGTATTCTGTAAATAGTATTTATCTATTTTTACTTTCAACGGACTATTTTGTAGTAGTTCATAAACGCATGCTCGAATATTCCGACAGCGCTTGAAGGCAGCGCCGGAGCCTGATACAGACAGGGCGTCAAGGAAGGAGATGGCCGACTAGGAGGCAGCGTTACCTTTACAACTTGCCTGGCGAGATTCATTTTACTTAACACATCTTCACAGCTGAAGTGGAAAGCGGCTTTTTAAATATTTCGCTCCTTCCGCGATGGCAGAACAAAACAGCAACGTCAGATATCAAGAGGTATGTAACAGTTTGCGTGCACGCTAAGCTGTAGCTAACAGTTAGCATTAGCTTCTGCCCAGTCAGCTTACGTTAGCCTGTCACTGTGAGGAAAACAACGAGCTCAGCCGTAATTTGTTTGCGGGCGGGGGCCCGAGTTTGTGAATAAGATTAAGGTGCATCAAACCTACTTTCTGACACTGAAATAAACTTAAATTAATGATCATACTCTCGTCACATATAAATCAAAGCATTAGCCTGTGTGACCCATTTTCATTTAGCAGCTAGTTAGTTACTCGTAATGTTAGCAAGTACTGGCCTGGCCTGAACAGGGACGCTGTATTAGTTTCACTTTGTCTAGCCTTTGACCAAAATCCTCACACTACCTTACGGTCCTGGATCAGTGGCCAGCCCAGCCTGTCACTAACTTCAGCTCCAGAGACAGAACAGCATCGAAATACTAAAGTGAAGGTGCAACCTGCTAATTTATCGACATATGCAGATGCTGCGTGAAGTCACGAGTGCACAGTTTATATATTATATTATATATTTTTGTTTCTGTGTAGTTTTGATTGTGTATCAGATTTGACTGAGTTAGCACTGATAGAAACAGTGTGCAGCTAACCTTTCGCATTTGGAGAAATGTTTGGTTGCAGACAAATCTATCATGACCACTTGTTGCACAGTACATTACACAAGTGCGACATCAATGCTACTTCACTGTTACTCTTTAACGAGTCGGCACCATTTTATTTTACTTTTTTAGTTATCATCTTGTAATGTCACATTGCTGTTAAAAAATGAGATTAGTGGAACAAAATTAGTCTAGTATTATCTGGCAGATGTAAAAAAATACAACCTGTACATTCAGTATTTCCATAAATCAGTCCCTCTCAATAATTTACAATATAGTCTTAATAATGGCCTAATTCAACCAGAAATCCTGCTGGGATGGCTACCATGCGGTTGACAAATATCTATTATCTCATGACATATAAATATTGTCATATTGCCTAGGGCTACTTGGTGGTTTTCCTAAAAGGTGTAATTTAAGTATAAGTTGTGATGTCATTCATTTACATTTTCTCAGCTGGTGAATGAGGAGGAGCCCGCCCAGTCATCCCAGGAGGGTCCTGCCCAGGACGCACCACCCCCCTACAGCAGCATTGCTGCAGCAAATGCAGGTTAGCAACCTTCACATCTCCCATCAAATACTGTCAGATAACAAGCACAACTTAGGCCCCATCTACACTACTCCATTTTAGGTTAAAAACAAAGACTCGAAATCGAATATGTTCTCCCTCCACACCAGTGTTTTAGCTGTTTATCAGAGTTGATCTCCATCTATACTAAAACGACTGAAAACGCATATCTAGTGGCCGTTCACATACACTGGGCATGCGTGTGCCAGTGTAAACATGAAGCAGATGGTCTGTTCCGTAGTTACAGAAGATTTGGCGAAAGAATAAAGTACCACAGATGAAGAACCACACCAGATTTTATTTTGCATGGACCAATAACGAGCTGGGACTGTTACTGAACGTAACACAGGAATTAAAAGCGGCTTTAGTGGTAGAAAACAGACTGGGAGTCTTTGCAAAGTAAATACGGCGACATACACAGTGTAGGCTGTGTTATGTGCGGAAAAAAACGGGGTTGGCAGCATTTTCAAACTTCTCCGTTTCAGGTCTTCGTTTTTGCCATTTTAGTCTGGACCCGATGTGCAAACGTAGCAAAAGGTCTCCATTTTAAAACGAAAACGCAGTAGTGTGGATGGGGCCTTAGAAGTGGAAGAACTATTTAAATCTACAATTTTCAGTGCCACTACATACAAATTCTCACTTAAAAGTAACATCCGAATCGGCTTTATTGGCCAAGTATGTGTACATATTAAAGGAGTTTCAGTCTAATTTTTCATTGCTCTCAATGTACTCACACTTCCAAGAACAATTTATAGGTAGATAGAAATAGACATACGGCTAAAAAACAAAGTTGAGCAAAGACAGGTCAATGTAAACATATATCTATTATGTAGAAACAAGTAGAAACGTCCTGCATCCAAAAGCAGTGTGAAGTGTACAAGTGGAGTGAAATGTGCCTAAGAAGCGAAAGTGATCGCTGTGCCGAACAATTCTTTCCACAGTGCATAGCTTTCAGAGATGTTCATACTTTGCAAGAATAATTTGGCAATGCATTTAAAACACGTTGAAAAGTAAAAGTGACCACAGCCATCAGAGAAATATTCAAAAGAAGGTTAAGAGGAATATTTCCCACTGAAATCTCACAAAATGAAGTACTTATTCAAGTACTTACCACAGTACTTGAATATGTGTATATAGTTCTGTCAATCCTCTACTCTAATTTGTCCTACACTGTTGGCCTTAGGATGAATAATGTAAAGGGCTGTGTGCAGGGCCTTTTAGAAAGGTCTGATGCTTCTAATCTCCCTTCTTAAGAGGGCATAGGTCAACGCATTGCATAAGTGTGTGTAGCCATGAGCTCTTCCTGGGCGAGTCCATTGATCTGTCCAGTGTTGTTTGTGTTCGGACAACACAAAGAAGCATTCTGGATAGCTGCCAAATGACCCAGATAAGTCTTTTCTTGTATTGGATAGAACAGAAAGAGAAATAGTCGCACATGCTACTAATGCCTTTCTTCCTTCTGTTTACCCCCCACCCCCCCTTCCCAACACTCGTTCAGAAAATTGCTTTCAGTTATTTATGACTGTCTATTTATCTGTGTCTGTTAGTGTAGATGCCATATAATAGTGTATTCAAAGAAGATCAAAGTGGTGTTTTTTCTGTCTGTAAATATCTGCCACAGTTATAAATGATAGATTTTCTTAGGAGGAAGTAAATTCAGTCCAACACATCTTTTATCATTTGCTACTCTTTTGCAAAAGCTGAAATTTGTAAGAAAAAAAAGAGATATTGTTACTTATGCTGCAGTTACCTCAGAAGTCGGAGCTTGACTGTATTCCAGTACAAGAACAGATTTGAGTCTGAAACAAAGATGGACGCCTCTAGCCATTGCTAGCAAAACCAGTTGATAACAATGCATTACTCTGTACTTTGCACATAGAAACACATAACATGTCTGTTGAAATTTCCGACTGGGAATTTGGAAATTCTGATTTTCCTTGTCAAATGGAACACAGCAAAAGTCCAGCTTTATAGTGGGGTAATGAAAACTGTAAAAAAGGTACACTAAATGAGTCCAAACTCTAATGAAATGGGTCAAACATCACTGTTAACATTGCACATACCATTTAACTTCAAGAAATAACATTAATATTCATGTTACTTGGTCAGTCGTTGACATTTTCACCTTGTCACCCTATCGTTTCCACTAAGATAAAACAACTTTACAGATGCAGTGACAGTAGTGTAGCCCAGTCTGATGACAAATCATTTTTTATATGTCAGCCATGCTCAGGAGTTTATTTATTATTATTATTATTATTATTTAGAAGAGTTTATTTTGAGAATGACTAGTCACGTGCTTGTCACCTCCACAGCTTTCTTTGAATACAAGGAAGATGGAGGAAGATTTCCCAACCCTCCATCCTACAGTGTTGCCACCACTCTGCCCTCCTATGATGAAGCTGAGAGAAACAAAGAAGAGGCAGCCATTCCCCTGGTCACTGGAAGAATCACGGTAGATTGATCTAATTTAGAAATATTCGTAATTACTAATTGCCTTGTCATGTACTAACACACGAGTTTTCAAACAAAGCATCAAAATAAACCAAATGTTATTGAAATGTATCTGTGCAGGAGGACACTTTGTGGCCAGGGATGACTTTGAAGATGCTGATCAGCTGCGAATAGGAAATGATGGCATCTTCATGCTCACTTTCTTCAGTAAGAACTTGTTGAACATTTCAACGGTTGACTAGTGGACAGTTTTTTTTTTTTTGTTGTTGTTGTTTTTTTTTTTTTTTCTAAAAGAGTAAACTGACTTTCAGGTTCACTTGCACAGAGCTGGCTTGTAACCATATGGTTATTAGTCATGTGTATCATGTGTAAATCTGGTCACTGAAGATGGAAAATGTGCACTCTCCCTTCATTTAACATTTGTTGTGTAGTTGCTCTCAAATAAGGGCTCTGGTATACTATTTTTAAAGTGAATTTGGCATATTATCAAAGGCTTTTAAATACTGCACTGGGTGCAAATGCCAGTACACTCACAAAAGTTTTCCCAGCCCAAGCCAGTTTGATCAGCA